AAATTTTCAATATATGTTATTTATAACTTCATTTAATCATCCTAATGACTCTTTTGATCGGGATAAAAACCTAATTCTCACTTACACTACTTTTGCTATGACCCTACCTGATAACTTCGATTTAACTAATGCGGGTACGGTTTGTCGGATGGTGAAATTTATTTCTAAACATGAACATTGATTCACAATAACATTCATATAAAAAAGAATTAATAATCCGCAATGCACATACAAATAATCTTCTAATACATATATATATGAGCATCCAATAATATATTAATGCAAATAGTACAAAAAAAAGACAAAACATAAAAACTAATAGATAGCTTCCTATCACTAAAGTCTCTCCTCCCTGTAAATAAATTCTCTTATATTAGTCATATCAATCTAGTAAATCTTTTTTTCTGAAAAATAGCAGTTAAACTTATTAAGTTCTAAGAAACTGTATAATAATTACTATTTTATTATGCATTAATTCCTTATATAAATGTCTAGCATGAATACAGAAAAAAATATGTAATAAACTAGTAAACTTGAATTTTGTTCATTATTCTAAAATGAAATTTAATTATCTTATTAATTATACTGTCATTTTCATTAATATTTTTTTTCCATTTTTTTCCTTAACAAACAATCTCAAGAGCACCGTCAATACATTTTTTTATTTTGTAAAAAAAGGTATAATTATTTTCAATTCCTTTTCCATTTTATACCATAGAAGTATAACCATTTCCATTTCTTTTTTCTTTAACATACACGAGTACAATACCATCCCCTACTAATACCATGGAAGTGGCTCCTAATAAATTTATTCATTTATTTTTCATTAACTTATATTTTATTCCTTGCTATAATTAAATCTATTTAATTTTTCATTTAACACAATGCAAAAGATAAAAATTAAAATAAAAAATATGCAAATTATTTTTACTTATGTTCATTTAGTTATGAGAAAGTTGTTAATATGTTTAACAAATGAAACATTTTAAAAGTATAAAAGAAATTAATTTAATGCAAACAAAGTAATAATTAGTCACTTTATTTTCACCTTGTAAAATGATCCTTTCAAATCCAATTATTCTCTCTTCTATATTTTGCTAACATTAATTAACATAACTCCAAATTAAAATTACCCCAAAATAATACTTAAACAGAATTTCAATCATATAAACAAAATTAATTTAAATAACCCTAACATACCTTACTAAAACTTGTTCAGTTGATTGCTTTGATTTTCATCTGTTCTTTAATTCAACTACTTGTCAAATTATAATAAAAACATTAATTCATGAAATTGTAATATTAAATTAATAAAATTTTAATTAAAATAACTTATATAATTAAAACATAAAACCATAAACCCTTACACTTCTTCACCTTGCCTACTTCTTTTGCACAAGCACCGAACCCGATCTATTACAGTTGCTTTTCAAATTAATCACTAATATTAGCTACTAAAAATCACTAAATCTTAATGACATCTAATTAATAAATAAAATAATTTATAGAAATAAAATTATAACCAATTTACCACTCTTTCTCCAGGTTTCGCACTCGACGTCAAAGCCTAGGGTTTGGTTTGGCTACCGTCGCGCATATGAGGAGTGATTCATCTCCACCTTTTCTATTTCCTCTTCGCGCACAGAGGCTCGCAGCATCATCTTCCTTCGTACAAGACGCACGCAACCACAACTTCTCTCTAAACTCCAATTCCTACACGCGCACGGTAAGGACTTTCTCTCCTCCTCCTCTTAAGGTTTCTATCGCGTTGCTGACCAAAAGAAAATATGCTGAGATTTTCGTACTATTTTCATACCTATTTTATACTATTTTTGATGATATTGCACTTTAAAGAAAGGTATTTTTAATATTTTGTTGCAGGAATGATGAATTAAGGTCAATAGAGCAAAAAGATGCAAAAAGAAGTGAATTTATAGTAAAAAGTATCAAAATGTGAAGAATTGCACTAGGGCGTCGACGGCGCCATCGACGCCGCCGACGGCGAGCTTTTCCCGATGCTACAGGAAAAATTCTCCAGAAGGCCACCGATGGCGGGATTGACGGTTATGTGACATGTACAATGGATAAGGCCGGATTTTGGAGGGGTGCGTGGCCAAATATTAGAGGGGTGCATAAGCAACTCTTGGGAAAACTCATCCATATCTTTAAAGAGAAGATTTTAACATAAAATAAAGGAGTCCTGGAGGTTAGATAGGTTCCATTAGTGTATAGAGAGCTTGTTAGAGCGTGTAACTGTGAGGAATTATTCGAGAAATTGTAAGAGTGGAGGGAAAGTGAGATTTCTTCCTCTTTGCTACTTCGAAGAGGAATTCCGTGTGTTGTAAA